CCTTTCTCTGCTTCTGCTCCTATTTTGGTCCAGAAGACGTACACCTTTCTCCTATCTGTCCTTGTATCTGCAACCCAACAACTCGTGTAATTCTATGCAGCCTCCTTTTGAACCAATCTCCGCGCCTGTTTATAACTTCAAATGTTTCCGGCTTCGTCTGATATTAATATTCTTATACCCTTTGGTTTTTCTATCTCTCTGTACCCCGTTCCTCACACTGATCAGCTTTTACACAGCAAATAAACACACCCGGTAAATTACGTCTTCGGGACTTCAAACAAACACAAACCACAAAGCTCCTTCCTTCTTGGGCGACGAAAACTGACTAACTCCTTTCCTCTCTCCTATCTCATAGCTAAAACCACTCCCTCCTTGCATTCAAAAATTGACCAATAAAAATCTTCTACCTCTGTCACGTATATCGTTACCAACCAACTCTCTCTATAAAACGTCATTCGGGTAATTCCAGAAAACAACATTCTTTAATTATTCTAGCTAAATCTATCTGCTTTACAAATATTTCTTACTAATAGCTACAAACGATACCTGTTTCTCAATTCAATGTCTTTTGTTAATAAACTTTTACCGATATAATCTTTCGGGGGGAAAAACCACCGCACATCCCTTTCTATTGTTTAAACACTTTCTATATACACTTTTATTACGGGTAAATCCATTCCACAATAACCGACTTATTTAAATTTCTTATCGATAATATTTGAAAGTCTTGTCTCTGAGGCCTAATGAACAATTCTTTGAACAACTTAAAATACATATTTTGTCTTATACAGGATGTTTGAAAATTTATATGCCCGTGTCATTATGAAATATCAATAATTTTAATTTTTATTTAAGTAATAAAATTTGTATATCGGTTTTTTATTGCTAACAGACATTCAAAAGTACAACAATATATATATATATAATATATATATATATATATATATATATATATATATATATATATATATATATATATATATATATTATTTTCAAAATACTGATCTCAAAAATGTATATATATATATATGTACTACTTCACCTAGATTGCGGCCCGCAAGCTGTGGCAATAGCTACTATGCGGCCCAGGGAAAAAAAAAGGTTGAGTATCGCTGGTCTAAACAATGCCCCCATGCCTGCTAGAGATTTATTTGGACCGAAATCTTTACTGCAAGCAACACATTAACGCCAAAAAACTCAGCTCAATATAAAATTAAAACAAATTAATTGGTTGCTTGACAGAAAGTCGCAACTGTCATTATAAAACAAAATACTGCTTTACAGTATTGTCAAGTCATACTTGTATATTGTAAGTCATACTTAAACGAATATAGGCTTAAGGTGTAAAACTCTGAGGCTGTAGCAAACCTTCTAACACAAAATATTTGCAGACCTTCCAATTAAAAACACTACGTATGATAGCTAATGCTAATAACTAATAGCTAATGCTAAGTGCGTTAATTTTTTTAATCCTTGGAAAATTAATAAGAATTTTGGAAAAATTTAAACGCAGAATAAAATATTAAATTATTACAGATGGCCAAAAGTCCCTAAAAACTTCTATATTGTTTATTTTAATAAGTTACAGGGGCGCAGGACCGTCTCATGCTATGATACAGCGAGGCAGTCGCATCAGGCGACATCACAAAGGGGGTGGTATAATCAGTACAATAAAAAAAAATGTCAGGCTGTGTAAAAATGTCAGAAACTATAGACAAAACGAAAAGTTACAGATAATATGGCTAATGAGCAAATGAAAATTTATTGCACTTGCAGAAAAGTTTATATTATGTATTGCATTTCCAGCTGAAAATGAAATTCAAGCCGGGATAAAAAAGCGAGCCAGGATAAAAATGCATTGGTTTTTTCGACTTCTGAAAAAACTAATAAGTATTTTTGAAAAATTTAAACGCAGAGTAAAAGATTACATTATTACCGAGGGCAGAAAGTCTCTGGAAATTTCTATGTCTATTTTAATAAGTTACAGAGGTGAAAGGACAGAAAATTTATTGTAATTTTTAATTTTCAATATTTCATTCAAAAGAAACGTTTTATTTATTCTAAGGGAATTTAGGCTCTGGGTAATAATGAAACATTTCATTCTGCATTTAAAGTTTTCAGAAATATTAATTAGTTTTCTCAGGATTTGATAAAAAAATGCATTTAAATAGCATTGGATCAAGATTTTGCGCATACCCTCTTAATAAAAATGAAAGTTAAATTTCAATCATATTTAAGTGGCGGCATTTTAAAGACTTGCATGATATTAAAAGATGTAGCGCACGGCTCTGCAGGGTTGAAAACAAACAGAAAATTTAGTATGATTTTTCATTTCAAATACACACAATAATGTGATCTTTCATTTGGCGTTTAAATTTTTCAAAAATACTCATTAGTTTTCTCATGATTCGAAAAAAATGAATGCATTTAAAAAGCATTTGACCAAAATTTTGCAACTTTTGAGAGTTTTATGATTATCCGGTACTAATTTCCAGAATTCTTCCTAATGATTTGTGTCCCTTTTTTGACGTTGACACTGCCGTGTCAATAGTTTATAGTCAACATTATAGTTTACTGCTGTTGTAACGACCATTTCAAGACGCATAGTTTTTCTCTTCCCAATGCAGAGCCGACTGGGAAACTATCGCTAAACATCTTGTGTTTTGTATTGTAGTGTCTCATAATATTAGACTTCTTTAATATAACTCTCTCGACAAATCAAACAAGTTGCTGAACCGTGTTTGTTAGGTACAACAAAATATTCATCTTTCCAATTGTCTTGAAATAGTGTGTTTTCATCAGATATTTTACGTTTTGATTTTGAGGACACGCCAGCCATTGTCACTGTTTTAAATTCTCGGAAAATCAATTATGATTAAAATTATTATAAAAAAAAGAAACCCACTTCACTTGACAAAATTTCAAAAAGACGATACGTGTGTAAACGGAAGGGCTGAATGAAATTGATATGTTCGTATAATAATTGAACTGGTTCCAAATCGACATGAATTGGAAATGCAAACATAACATAACAACGTCAACTTCGGGAAACCCCCGGTTGAACACCACGGGGGCGGATCTTTTTATATTATAAATTGAACTTTGTTGATTAGGGAATTTTTAATATGTAATATTTTATAATGAATTAAAAGTATCTAATATAATCGTATTTTTTAAATTTTAAGATTTTATAAATACATAGGTAGGTAAAGTAAAAAATTCTTAGTAAGCCTTCGGGTCGCATAAGAAACGCCCGAGGGCCGCATGCGGCCCGCGGGCCGCAGGTTGAGTATCACTGGTTTAGACTAACTTGTGGACAAGTACGTCTTCTTGATGCAAATGTGTTTTGGGTTGATTTTTCCATTTTGTCAACCAATACTCTAATGCTAATGTATGCAAGTAATTTTGCAGCTTTTCAGATGTTATGTCTGGGTCTTTGTTTGAAACTAAAACGGCTGTATCATCGGCAAAAATCGCCACTGTGACGTCATCGGTAGTAGGTATGTCAGCAGTAAAGATTAGGTACAGGAAGGAACTGAAGACACTTCCCTGAGAAACTCAGTATTTGATTATCAATATTGATTTTTACTTGGAACGAACGTTCGTTAATATAGGATTACAGGATAAGGCACATATCACTAGGCAGTAAAGATTTTAATTTATATAGCAAACTGTTGTGCCATGACCATGACTTTATCAAAAGCCTGCTGAATATCGAGAAATACTGAGGCACACATAGTCTTTTCTTTTTCTTAATTTTATTTACCATTCTATGACACTGTTGGATTGTTGAATATTTTTGACAAAAACCAAACTGATGTTCAGGTATTATGTTCTCGAGTGGTACATATTTTGCTTATTCTAATTAGCAGAAGTCTTTCAAATATCTTGTACATCAAGGGTAACAAGCTTATCGGATAATAGGAAGAAGTTTCTGTAGGCAATTTACCTGGCTTTTCAATAATTATAATAAGAGTATATTTCCAGTGGATTGGAAAATGACTTAACTGTAGCATTCTATTGTAGATAATAGTAAGCATGAGAACTGCTTTCCTGGGTAGATATTTTAGGATTCTCCCATCGATTAAATCGTATCCTATGGGCTTTGTGTGAGTTTTTACTCATTATTATTCTGCGAACTTCATATGGGAAGAAAGGTTTTATTGGAGGTGATAGTTGGCAGAATTCATCAATATATTCGCTAACTACATCATCATTTATGTTTTGACCTAAATTTGGATTAAATATATTTTCTAAATATTCTGCAAATACATTAGCTTTTTCATTCTCAGTCTGCGCCAAACTTCTATCAAGTTTTCTTATTGGAGGAATTTGTAGTGTCAGTTTCTTGAATTTTTTAGTCACTCCCCATATAGTCACTCACTCTTCTATATTTAGTCACTCTTCTATATTTAGTCTCATATTTAGTCACTCGCTCTTCTATTTTCGGTTAGAATTTGTTTAATATGTAATTGTACATTGTTGTCTTCAGGATTACCTTTTTTACTTATAATGAGTAGATTCCCAAACAGTGTTTTTTATTACAGCGTTAACTTTTGTACTGCAAATTCCAGCTCATCAGATTTATTTATTCAGTTATCTAAGCATATATTCTGGTTAATGGTGTTTTCAAATTGTTCCCAGTTTTTTTTGTTATATAGTAATAAAGGCTGTTGATTGTATATTATAGTTGTACAACCTAAGAAAATGAAAACATTCTTCTAAACTCCAAACTCTATATACTCTTAACACTACTTACAGAATAGTGTTTTAGAAGCACATATGAAAAATGTAATAAAAATTCAATTATATTACAATGTAAAGGAGAATATAAGATCAGTTGCAACCGTAAGGTACTGCAAAGCAGAAAAATAGTAAAGAACAAAGACTTTTTTTTATGCTAAACCTTCCAATTTTTTTTCTAAGAACATTTTTCTCTGTTTTTCTTTCTTAATACAATTATTGTTACAAAATATTAAACGAAGATCTTTTTATTGCAGGAAATAGCACTGTACGGCGAATTCAGCATCCGAGAAACCCTAAAATACTTCGGCTGGATATCCAACATGACCACAGACGAAGTAGAAGCCAAAGTTGATTTTTTCGTCAACTTCTTGATGTTACCGGACGCAGACAGGCAGGTCAAAAATCTCAGCGGAGGCCAGCAGAGGCGAGTTTCTTTAGCAGCTACGCTTCTTCACGAACCTGAGCTGTTAATTTTAGACGAGCCTACCGTCGGCGTCGATCCATTGCTGCGGACGAATATTTGGAACCATTTGGTGGAAATAACTAAATTTGGTAGGACAACTGTGATCATTACCACGCATTATATTGATGAGACTAGACAGGCTCATTTGGTGAGTGGTTTGTTTTATTTTTAGCAGTTGAATGCTATGCTTGAACAACTTTGTAAAAGCCAAATCACATTTTGTCGACAAATTGAACAAAAAATACTGATTATTTAAAAAACATGTATGAGCGTAATATGATATACTATAGGGTGAATAACATTCCTACCAGTTAAAAAATTGTTGTGTAGAAGTAAGGCGGTTAAAACATTGTTTTAGAAATAAAAAATGAAGTAGGGGAGAGTGTTATATCTTTGGGTGCTTGTACATCTAGACACTGTCGTTAAAATTGTTGTTTTCTCCGTGTTGGAAAGAATTTTTGGCTTTAACGTTCTGCTATTGACCACTTGAGGCCTATACAATAGTTTCGCTTCATAAATATGAAGACTTTGTAATTTAGTCAGCCTTGTGAATTTTCCGTGTTAAACGTAATAATTAGCGAGAACATAAAGAGTCGGTGTGTTACAAAGTTGTGGCTGGTTTCATCTATAATTTTCCAGGTAAGAAATATACTATGTTTGCTATTTAAAAGTTGTGTTCACCAATCCATAAAGTTTACATAACTTTAAAAAATTCATGTGTTTTGGTAGTCGTAAACATTGTTGTACCTTGGGACATTACGTTTGTTATACAACTGGCAATGGCCAACGGTACAACAAGACAAAACATTTTACTTTTTCTCATTTATCTGGAATTTCACTGGAAGTAGACACTAAAGTAAGGAGAAATCGGCACTGACGTGTATTTTTAATGCATAGGGAATACATAATTTTCATATCAGAGGAAAATCAGTGGTCTCTTTCCTTTAATATGCACCACGGCAATAAGGCAATATTTTCGCTCATGTGATTTACTGCACTGATTTACAGACTGTCATTACATCTTCGTAGACTTTAAGGCAGCGTACGATACTATTGACAGGTCCCAATTATATTCGGCGATGATCGAATTAGGAATACCAAAAGGTTTGGTAAGAGTTAATTAAAATGACAATGATGAAAGTCGAATGTAAACTGCGCATACAAGGGGATGTTTCAAAACCATTTAAAACCAACAGAGGACTGCGCCAGGGAGATGCGCTATCTTGCACGCTGTTCAACCTAGCGTTAGAAAAAGTTATGAGAGATTCAGGAATAAACTTAAAAGGTACGATATATACCCATAGTATACAAATAATGGCATCCGCCATTATTTGTATACTACGATGATATCGTCATAATTGGAAGAACCCAAAATGAAGCAGGGGAGGCTTTCACACGTATGTATCAAAAATGCCGCAGAAAACATCGGACTTCTGATTAACATCCAGAAAACTAAATATATGCCGGCCATATCAAGAATTCAACAAAATAACTTAGAGGTGCAACACGAAACGATAGAAATGGTAGAAGAATTCTACTACTTAGGATCACTGGTAGACTACGAAAATAACACATCCAATGAGATAAAAAAAAAAGAATATGCGTGGCTAACCGCTGTTATTTTGGCCTGGGCCCTCAACTAAGAGCGAGAAGTATATCAATAGCAACAAAGTGCAAACTTTATAAAACAATAATACGCCCAGTGCTCACATACGGATCGGAAACATAGGTAATGACGACCCGAGATGAAAAGTTACTAAGAGTCTTTGAAAGAAAAGTAGACTTTTTGGTGATGCAGATATTGTAAAGAACATCAAAATAAACCGCCTAAGGTGGGTGGGCCACGTTATGCGGATGAATAAGAGTGATCCCACTTAAATAACTATGCAAAACAGGCCGGTCGAAAGAAGAAGAAAGGAGTGACCTAAACTCAAATATCTGGACGATGTACGGGAAGATCTGAGGGAGATTGGAGTGAGGGGCTGGAGAAGACAGACACTCGATAGGGAAGGACGGAAGAATGTTTTGAAGCAGGCCAAGGCTCACGAAGGGCTGTAGCGCCAACTGATGATGATGATTTACTGCACTCGGCTAACAAACTCTACAAAATTAAACTTTAATGCTTTTTTACTTAAATAGCAAGTAAACTGACACCACGAAGCAAAAGTGGAATAAAAAAAAACAAAGTGGATGTTGGTGCCTTGCAGAAAGCTGTCGAAGACATCTTCGAAAATAAGATTCCGATTCGACAAGCTGCCAAAAAATATATTTGTCGATCAACCTTATCTAATCATATTCGAATCAGGCAGTGAAAACAAGATAAAAACACCAGACAATTGGACTTCAAATGCAACTGCAGGCAAAAAATGGCTAAGACACTTCATGAATCGGCATCCATCATTGTCGTTAAGGAAACCCGAGGCTACAAGCCTGTCAAGGTCAACCAGTTTTAACAAAGAAAATATCCAAGCTTTTTTCATAAAATAACAATCTTAAAATAGTAATGTCACGCAATTAAAAGGTGTTAAGCAACTGGATAGTATGACATCCGGAGAAAGAGGGATCAATGTAACTTTGATTGTTGCGGTTAATGCCATCGGTAACCATGTGCTGCCCAAGTTGATATTCCCTCGCGTGTTTTTCAAGGACCACATGTTACATGGTGCACTACCAGGTTCAATTGGAGACGCAAATCCATCAGGATGGTCAAACGAGAAGCTTTTTTACACTACTTGCAGCATTTTATAGCCCACGTTTAGCCAAGAGAGCAAGAAAAAGTGCAACTAATACTTGAGAATCACGAGTCCCATATTGCAGTTTTCGTGATTGATTTGGCGAAGGAAAATAATATTTTGCTATTAATATTGCCGCCACACACCTCGCACAGAACTCAACCTCTGTTGAGTTCTGTTGACAGGACTGTTTTTCGACCATACAAAACATACTACAGCACCATAGCTAATAAGTGGATGATGACCCATCCTAGACGTCTTATAAGCTTGTATGACGTAGCTGAACTCGTAGGCAATTGCAAAAACATTTACCCCTGCAAGGGTAAACGAAAACGACAAGGGATGGAACTCCAATGTGCAGGGGCACAGCTGACATCATAGAAATGTGTCAAATATCTGGGAGTGACGCTACACCAATGTGGCAGATGGGGAGAGCATATACGGGTGAAAGAGTGCGCCTGCTCTGGGGATAGTGTATCCCAACATTAAGGGAACAAAATCCGAAAGGAGAAGTGCTCTATATGATAGGCATTCAGTTGTCCTTTACGCGGACCAGTCTGGAGTGAGACGGTAGTACCGATCTACAAGGGCCTTATGATACAGAACGAGTCTGTTAGGAGTAGCATGCTCCTATAGGACTGTATCCTCGGCGGCCTTGTGCTTGGACTATCACGGGTTGCGTTCCTCTGCATGTGTTAGCAGTAGAAAGGAAACATCTCTATGAGAAAAGAAAGCATTTGACTACAGCCATAAGAAAAGAAGAACAGGAAAGATCAATACAGAAATGACAGGAAGCGTGGAACAGTACGAAATATGTTGACAAGTGGACTAAGTTGCTAGTCTCGAACCTAAGGAACTGGATGGACTGTGGTCGCAGGCGACTGTATTACTTCCTGACGTAAGTGCTCACAGGACACGGGTGTTTTAGGATGTATGTTCATAGGTTTAAAAATACAGACGCAGACAGATGCCTATATTCCGAATACTCCGACAGTGTTACTCACACAATTCTGGAGTGTAATAAATGGGCAGTAGAGAGAAACACAATATATAGAGAAATAAGCATATGAACCCTGTGACTGAGTAAAGTGACAAAAAGTAAGGAGGGATGAAATAGTGTACGTAATTATTAGAGAAGGCAGTGCTCCAAAAGTTTCGTCAGCCTTACAATGGCCTTGTACGTGCTACAGTCAACTGCAAACAAGTAGGAGAGGGTGGTTTTAGTTGGTAGATAGGATAACAGGAAGGCATCTATTTGAGGGACCTCCTTATAGGAGAAAATGGACTCTGATGTACTTCTTTACCTTGAATATCCAACACTCTTCAGACATCTCTAGGATTAATATGGCTTAACCTGATACGGTTTTTACAATATTTCCACCCTCAGTAGAAAAATAAATAGATTTGACATAGTTTGGAGGATTCCAAGGCTAGATTTGGGCTCTAGTACCATCGGTGGGAAAGTAGACATATTTTCTAGTTTTTTCAAAAAAAGTTATTGTAAGATTGTTAAAATCTTTCCCTATGTGTTGTGTAAGTCTACTTTTTCTTAAGACACACTGAATTGCATAGGTACAACATTTTTCCTACGTTAAAAAACGATGTTGGGTTGATTATAGAGAAAACAAACTGCAGTTTAATAAAAAATAAATATCGAATTAATGAAACAATATCGTTTGTTTACCTATTAGTGGCTATTATTATTACATAATCTTGTAAAAATTTCCTTGGGTTTGCCTTCAAACATACTTATATCCATCAAATACTTATTCCGCCATTAAATAATATATCATTATCGAATTGTCAAAGGTAGTTTTTGTTCATTAAAAACGAATGTCATTCAATAAGTAGTTTTCAATGTACGAGATAGTTTGGTGGTCATTCGCAAATCCTGTACTTTATTATTTAATTTGCCGTAGATAGATTTTAGCATTAATTATTAAAGTAGTTGACAGTGGCATGTCAAATCATTTATTTTATGAGGTTTTTAAAAGTTGCGTTCATATTATACTCAACACAATTTAAAATTTCACATATGGTTTCTATTCGATGACATGTCGCATAAATTGAATGAAAAGAAATGAAGTTTAACATTTATATTTACTACAAGACGAATCTGTAAGGAACCGTTACCAGAGAAGACTTGACCGGAAATTACGGGAATTCGGTTTCAGAAACGTCAAAAAAACGTACGAGAACATAACACTTAGTACAGTTCCGGCAAAAATCTTTACACGGTAAATAAAACACATAAATCAGGATAATTGTTATTTTAATTTTACAAATTAATATTTTGTAATATCACCATTGTAGTCGACGACAAGCCGGATTCTGTTGGGCATGGATTGAGCAAGGTTCAAGAAATATTTTTCTTCCGTGGTCACCCACAACCTCTTCAATTCCTCTTTTAGCTGAT